TTTTAGACGACTTTTGGAGGCCAGATAGGTTCTTAGAAGCTGTGGTTTTCGAAATTTAACTAGAAGCTTGGAATTGAAGAGATCAAAGGCATTAAACTATTACTTTTCTCTTAATCTTTGTTTTTGAATCATGTTTATTACATTAGATTTCGAGCTTCTGATGTTATTTTTTGAAGTTATGGGCTAAACTCCATACTTCTGTTTAGATGTAGAGGATCTTATGAATATGGTTTGATTGAGTGGCTTGGATTATATTTATTTGGTTATTTATCTTGTTAATCTTGTTAAAAGATCCTTATGTGTTAATGATAATTATTTTCTGTTAATAAACAAGTATATTGAGTTGTATGAACATCTTCTTGATTGCTTGAATCTTATAGTTTTGTGAAAACAAGATTGTATGCCTAGTATTAGTGAACATGAACTTAGGGTTAACTAGAAAATAAGTAAGTTAATGTGTGAGCATGTGTGATGACCAACCACATATGAGTTAATTGAATGACCAATTTAGTTAACTAATATTATGAGTCTTACTTGATTCGAAATGAACACTAGGAAACTTGTTAGTTTAATCACTTTATCACTGTCTGAATTAACTTGTTTGCTAAAGGATTAGTAATAGTGAACATGAACCTAATCATATTACAAATCGGTAACCATTGATATATTAATCCATTGCACTTGCCACGAAATCAACCATAGGAATAAGTGAATCGAATCTAAACGAAAGTCTCTTTAATTTGATTGAATCTAGTTGTCTTTTGTTCCTCTTTTTGTTGTTAATTGCCTTTTTGCTAAAGTGTTTAGAAAATTACTTAAGTTTCTAGTCTTGTAAAACTAGAGAAAGCCCCCCATTTTAATTAATTGCTTTATTTAGATAATATTAGTATTTATTTTAATTGTTTACCATTCCCTGTGTTCGATACCCAACTTGCTTAAACTAAATTGTTATCGATAGGTACACTGCATACGTGTGTTTGTTTTTATTTGAGTTTGTAAGGATTAAAACTGGTATACTTTACACACATCAGGCTCCAAGGCCCAAAAGGCCCAACTACGTCACTTAAAGCCCATTAGCAAATTCAAAGGCCCACCTACTCCAAACAGATCAAGGCCCAAAACCAAATAAGACCCAGTGACCCCAAAAGCCTACACAGGTCCAAAAGCTCACTGGGAGCATACGCCAGCATAATCCTAGTACACTCAGCGTATTTTCCTGCCATGCAGTACGCGTTGTGTACACCTTGGTATGCCCAACGTATTGTGCTTCTCAGCAACTTCAGCCATTTGGTGCTTAATCCATGCAATCACTTAATCCAACTTCCAGATCTCGGTCATTAAGAGGGTCCTAGGGCATAAAGTTGGCAACTTTATGCCTTAGCATGTCTTATGGGAGTCCAACATCCACTTTTGTTCATCAAGGATCACTTAAAGGACCTAGATTATTGCATGGATTCATATCAACCACGAAGATATCATTTTTATGCTTCTAACATGCCAAAGGGACTAAGATCTAGCATTTATAGCTTCTAGAGTTGCCCAAACTCACAAAAGAGGATCCATGGACCAAAAATGAGCTTATAAACAAACCCTAACTCTAACTATCAAAAGGATCAACAATGTATGAGCTTTTTACCTTCAAAAGCTTCCCAAGATGATGTAGATTCAGGATCTTGAAGCTCAACCATGTCCAAGGCTTGCTCACCAACTTTATTCTTTTGCAAACACACCAAAAAGGCCACTAAAGTCACTTTCAAGCTTAAAGATCACTCTCAATGGAAACTAGGGTTTTAGGGACGTTCAAAGGAAGTGGAGGCTAATAAGAGTGAGGGTCTTGTTGATACATAAAGTAACCCTCTTAAACTTAACGATCCGCAGTCTTATTCTCTTTGTACCGCAATTGAAGTTGCTACCGCAATGATGTGTGTCTACCGCAGCTTGAAGATGAAGAAGTGATTCTGAAAACCAGAGTGCACCACAACTACTACTACTGCAGTGAAGACCTCTTTGTTACGTCAACTCTTTGTTACGTCAAAAGTCAACGGGGTCACAGAAAACGTAATTGGGGCGTACTTCGGATGTACGTTGGGCGTACTCCTTCATTGACCGCCATCGGGAGCCTGGACCACATACGCGCTGCATACTCAATTTACGTAGGGCGTACGCCCAGATCTTCCAATCCTTCATTAAGTGCTTAATGTCATAAGTCCTTTCGTCCAACTTATAGATCCAAGACTAAAATACCCTTTAGAGTCATAAAATTTCCACTTTATGACTTCTCATGTCCATTAAGAGCTTAAATCAACATCTTAATCCATTAAGACCCTCTAGATGATGCATAGAGAAAAACCAACCACTTAGATCCCATTTTTATGACTTAAGACCCCTTCTAAGGTCTGAAACGACAACTTAATGGGTCAAGAACATGCTATGTTCATGAATCACCACATTTGGGACAAAAGGATCAAAAAACCACCCCGACACAATATCTAAATGAAACTCCACCAATTTTAGGACTTTATACCTCCAAATGATGCCAAAAGGTGGTGAGATTCTGGATCTAAAGAGCTTCACTCCTCCAATATTGTCTTCACTCTTTTCCCTCTTCTTCAAAGGCACAAAACACCCACACTCAAGCTTAGAAATGATTCACAAGATGGATTAGGGTTGCAAAACGTTCCAAGAGGATGGAGGCTGATGAGGTGAAGGGAAAAGATGATATAATGGGGTTTAAATATGAGCCAAACCCTAAAAATTAGGGCTTGCATGCTTGGCACATACACCTTGTGTACATATGTATGTCATGCGTACTAGGGCGCGCCCTAGTATGCTCAGCGTACACACCTACGCATGACATACTCCCCAAACTCCCAGATTACGAAAAATGCCACTAGGGACTTCAATGCACTCATTCTTATACTTAGGGACCATAATGTAATATAATTAAATTATAGGGTCAAAATTAAAAGTATCTCATCATCGAGATGTTACAATGGAGGCTTCCTAGATGCTTAGGTGTTTCTTAAGGAAGATAGAGCCCAAGGCCCGATGTAACCATGTGGTTTTTCTATACGTAAGAACTCATTATAAGCCATTTGATGGCTAACATCTAAATAAAAGATAAATTAATGGGTTAGTGAGAAATCATTCTTTGGAGATCTAAAATTGAGATTGTGTCTTCGTCCCTTCAAGAACTTAACACTCGTTTGTCAGTGTTTCAACTTGCCCATGTGTAGATACACATACAACTAGGTTGTATATACTTTATTAGTATCACAACACGATACGATTTTCTAGATGTGTATCAATAACCGAATTTTCATTAAAATCATGTTCAAATATCAGTTTCCAATTTTATGAATTCGGGATTTGCCTTATATCCATAACACGGTGCCACAATATTCAGAGGTTCAAAGTGGGTACCATCAAATTTGGCTAAGAATGAGTGATGGGTGGAAAACGAATTCAAAACCCAAGACGACCTTTTATGTGAGGATGGTTATTCATTTTGGATTATCTAATGTCCTAAGTAAAACTTACCTTCTAATAAACCAAGTTTTCTAAAGTTTTCATTAGAAATTTATGGTTGTCTATTTCCACGACGTCTTGATAGTGACACTTTGGTGCAACACTTATCACATTTACGTCAAATTATCTTGGTTTTACACAAGCAACGATTATTCACCAATAGGAAAAAGTGTCACTTTATTACACCAATGTTACCTTTTAGGCTCAGGAAGTGAAATCAAATGAAGGAAGCAAAATCGAGGTGATTACTAGTTTACTTACTCGGACTGTGATCCATGAAATTCATAGCTTTTATGGGTTGGCCTGAATCTACCAACAACTTATTATATATTTCAACACCCTTATAGCTCTAATGACCGGATACTTTAAGAGGAAAAGGGCATGTGATTTGCATGGAACGAAGCAACTAAAAAGGGCCTTAGAGACCTTGAAAATGATAGTAACCCAAGTCCGGTTTTAGTGTTGGCGCTACCTAGACAAAATTGAAAAATTGTCCCTTTGGTTTGCATAAAAATTATGGATTTGGTACAAAAGGTTTACAAATGGTATGAAAAGTCAAAATCAGGAATTCCCATGAGCTTGGGAACAATTTTTCCTTTTTATTATTATTATTATTTTTTTGTATTTTTTTCATATTGTTTTTAATACTTTATTAATTAAAAATAAAAAACAAAAGAACTCGGTCCATCCATACTGATGTCTCTCTCTCTCTCTCTCTCTCTCTCTCTCTCTCTCAATACATATTTTATTTTGTGTTCTATACGTGTTGAATCTGTGTTTGTGTGTGTGAGAGAGAGAGGGCACCGGTGGAGTGTGATGGATGAGCCTAATTTTTTTATTTTTTATTTTTAATTAATAAACTATTAAAAATAATATAAAAATACAAAAAATAAACAAGGGAAAAATTATCTTTCAATTTTCAAAACCTCGGAAAATTTTTTATTTTGGATTTTCGTAGGAAACTTTTTGGATCTTATCCTTAGTTTTTACAAACTACAGGACCAATTCTACAGTTTTGCTTAACATTAATGAAGTTTCTAAGTAGAGTGTGATGCATTGGGAGTTGGGATCGACAGTGTACTATGCCATTAACAACCATCACTTTCTTCAACGAGAAATAAAACGATACATGGCATCCCTTCTCCACTTATGACAATGAACTTTATACCATTATTCAGAGTCTAGCATATTTGCAACACTATCTATTTATTGCCATTGAGTTCATGTTGTTTTCGGATCACGAGGCCATCAATGGGAAACATAAGTTGAAAGTTGACATGCAAAATGGGTCAAGTTGCTTCAAGTTGATCAAATCCAATCATGAATGCAATGGTCATCTACACACGATACTCCAACCATACAAGTTAAAGTGCATCGGTTTACCAATGCGTTATTTTTTCAATTTGGTTCATAAGATCTAAAACTAGATGCCCCATGGTGTAACTTAGGTTATGAGGCGACACCTTGGAATGCTTCGACATAAATAACATGGACGAAAATGGACATTCATAACATAACCCCAGTTGTTATTCTTACTTACACAGAAATAACGAAATACAATGGTAACAAATGTTAATAAAATAAAAAGGATTAGCTTCAAAATAAGCTTATCATGTCCAAAATCTTTCACCCTTTGTTTCTTCAGATTCAAACCTACAACTTTAAGGTACTTCGGGTGGGGGTTAACCTTAAATAGATTCACCAGATAACAGCAATAGATGGTGGCTGATGGTGGCAGTAACAAGTTACGAGGTGGTTGATAGCGGTGTGAGAGATTTTGCCGACAGATTGATGCCACCGCCCCTCAGGGACACCGTGGGCCCGCCCTTTGAGCTCGCTTTACTGACAAGATTGGAATCTAGAAACAACACAACGACAGTGATGTCATCGTGGAAATGACGCCTTACGCCCCTATCGATTTTCTTCAAATCTGAATACCTCATTTCCCGCTTCTTTGCCGCTTCATGTAAAGCGGCTTTCAACAACCTCTTAGCACTTCCCTGCAACACACACATTTAAATTAAGTTTAGATCGACCATATGGGATTTAAAAAGATTAGGGAATTTGTCTCATTGACATGACACTTTTTGGGTGGGACCAAAAAAAGTACAGTTTTTTGTCCCATTGATATCATTATCTGTCTTTATCCCTATCCTAGTCCTACCTTTTTTGATAGGACAAAAAATTGCAGTTTTTGTACCATTGACATCAGTCTCAGTGCAAAATACAGTTTTTGTACCATTTTTGTCTCATTGACCTTTTTGTATGGGACAAAAATACAGTTTTTGTTCAATTGACAGTCCAATGCACACCAAACACAGTACAAGTGCTACATCATGTCAAATGAGGCATGTGGAATGAAGATGGAAAAGAGGAGATGTTTACGTTATGAGGGTGTTTTTGGACAATATCAACTGCTTCTTGATTGGTGAGTTGCTCCCACAGACCGTCGGATGCAAATATGAGAAATTGATCGAACGGTTGGATTTCGTGCACGGATATTGATGGATCGGAACTCAATATCGGCTTTTTGATAGGATCGCGGAGACGAAATTTGGCGTACAAGGGCTCCCTATTAAATTCCGCTTTCTTGAGGTATACATCACCTATTGATCTAGATATCTGCAACATACACAATCCCAAACATTATCCTCGGATGCAAAACTCACAAAATAATATTATTTCAATAATACGTTAAAAGGGTTAAATGGAAGAAATAGCAATGTACTTGATAATTTCTTATGTTGATCCAAAATTAATACACCCCATCCCTTTTTCCTTCATGCATTTAATTAATAAAAATTGTACTATGCATTAAGTAAATAAGAAGCATCCATCTATTCCACTAAATGTTCTACTCTAGCAGACATTTAATCATTTATACAATTAAATGTAGTTATCTAATTTATCTACGTAAAAAAAAGTGATTCTTTTTTATTTTGAAGATAAAAAATAACTCATTTCACCCTTGAACTTGAATTTTGGACTTTTTCCGTGATGGAGGTCATATACTAATGAAGTGTGTGTAAAACCTTAATTCTTCACCTTAAAAGCATTATGTGCAAAGGATCAAAAAAGCCTAAAGCAAACACACTACTTAAAAGTTAAAAGTTTCTCCAATTTCCATTATTTTGGCCCTACACATTAAAAAATCAACTTTTTCTGGTGTAAACACAAACACTTTTCTATTCTAGACAAAAACATAAAATTTCCTAGTTCTTCCCAACTTTAATGAACTATGATTATCTAATTAAAGTCACATCATTTCTTTATTTTGACATACGACTACTTTTCTATTCCATAACAAGATTTATAAATACACAAATCATACCTGTATGAGGCCTTTCACACGCCAAACATTATGCTTTAAAACAACAATCTGAGGGTCATCAGGATGCAAAGTGTGAAGCTCTTGTCTAATGGACTCTATGCTTGCATTATGTTCCACTGATAATTGGATAGCAATAACCTCCCCTGTTGCTTTCACTGTTCTTCCTAAAACAGCACGTGAATCACCAACATTTGCAATGAAAAGGGTTCCATTACAAATCACACCAATTAAGCAACAAGTTCCAACAGAAGCTAATTGTGGTTTCACTGCCCATTGTTTAGCAACAATTGATAAAAACCCCTCTTCGGTTGACTGAAATGCTTTTCGTATTACATCCACTGAGATAGAATTGTGTTCTGATGTAATCCCTACAAAATGATTAAAAATTGTTAGGTGAATTAAAACAAATGAAGAGGATAACAAGAAAGTTGAAAGGAATTGGAATCTGTTAGAGGGTATGGAATTTTGTTGGTGGGAAATGGAATGGAATTCATGATTAAAAGGGTATTTAATTTGAGTATAAGAGAGAAATGCTGGGAATTGAATTCCATGGTTTCTAGGATGGAATCTTGAAGTGTTTTGTGAATTCTAATGGAATTCAATTCCGTACTCATTTGCAACCAAACGAAGGATTGGAATGGAATTGAATTCCAATTCAGGGCAAATCCCATGGAATCGAGCGTTTGGTTGGCATATGAACGGAATTCAATTCAATCGGAAGTCACAAAACTCCTTTCATCAATGAATTTCAAGATTCTATATCCTAAAAACAATGGAATTCTCAGCTCCCACATTTCTTTCTTGTTAAACAAATACTAAAATACCCTTTTAACCCTAGAATTTCAGCAAAGTTTCTTGCAAACCAATAGCATGACAGATTCCAATTCCTTTTCCTTGAATACCAACTCTTTAGACAGATTCCATTCCTTCCAACAAAAAACATTAATCTGCTCTCACTCACTTACTTTTAAGATTATGGAAAAGATTATCATTGACATATCGCGATGTTTCGGGCCCACCATGACCATCATATACACCAACAAAGGTTCCATATGGACCAGAATCATGAAAGCTCAAAGGACCTGACTCAATTTGGCTTTGATCTTCAAGCAACATGTTAGCTTGAACAACAGCCATGGAGTAATCGCCATTCAAATGGTGACCAGTGTCTTTAAACCAAAGAAGACCCTCCTGCCTGCCAGCTGTATCCAAACCATCTGAAGGTCGCCAGCAGGCTTTTAGAAAATTTATCAATCTTGATAACATGCCTCATTTCACCACAACGTAACACACCAATTTATCACCATCCAAAAATGGATGTCAACAACACTATAACTACTAAATCTCCTCTGATTTCAGTGTTCAGTTTCCCTGCATTAAGAAGAAGCAAAACTGATAAATCGAAGAAACTCAAAGCAAACCCTAGCTGGAATTGAAACCAAAATCACATAAAAGAAATTACGATGAATCTTTTCGGGTCAAGTCGAATCTCGCATACCCGTCGGACAATTGAATAGATATTACGAATCAATTAACAAAAAAAAAGGTACAAAACACCCATTAGGTAAAACGGATTAAACCGATAAATAGAAAGTAGAGAAAGAAGAAGAAAGACGACTCACAGTTGAAAGTTAGGCCTTTTCAGGGGTGTATTTTCTGGTGAGCTGCCAAATGAAAAGGATGGAGATCTGAAGAAATTAGAGGAAACCCATGTGGGGTTTACATGTGTTAGATCTGTAGATCAATCAAATATCCAAACCCCGTGGATACGTGTACGTATAGGTATACATATACGTATACCCTTTTTTCTGGTTGTATTGATTTGAATGATCAAATTCTCGTGAAGGAGAGATGATCAAAGAGTGAAGAAGAGAGGGTTGACGGAAGTTTTCCTCTCCAGACAAATCTCACTCTCCGTTTCTGTTTTATATATTTCTCTCCTCTCCTGAATAAATCAACCCTTCAACATCGCCTTTTTAAATTGTCAAACAAGATACAAAAATATATTTACTACATTTATTTTTAATAAATGATACATGGGATAACGCGCTAATTTATATCTTATAAAAAAAAAGGTTTATTTCAAATCAATATAGAAAAACAATATAGTTTAAGATAATCATTCTTTTATATTATATTGATTGAAAACTTTAATAACTTTTTAAAATTCAAACAAATTAATCATTATTATTAAAGAGTTTTTATATTAACTTTCAAGTAATTAGTTACTAAAAATCAAAAAAAATTCTCGATATTAAATTGTTCACATGTAGATTATATTTCTAGACTTTGTACAATAATATTGAGAGAAAGATAACTAACAATATACAAATCTCCATTTTGAGATGCATGTTTTTATATAAAACAAGAAGGTGGTTATCATGGTATTCAAAGATGTTAATTTATATCCTCTAGATTTTCGGATGTAGTCTTTAAAAAAATTAGTTTTACCATTCAAAAAGGCTTAGCGGCACAGTTTGTTGTCCGTTTGTCATCTCACTCATTGTACGATGACAATTAAAATATTGTGAGGTTTCTTTAATTTATATAAATTAATATATTTGTTGATATTTTTTCTTATTATTCATCTGGTCTTCTTTAATGAAATCGTAAGTTCAATAAATGTAATATATGTTGGTCTAAAAATTTTATAGTCAATATTTTATTTATACCCATTTTGCTCTATAATTCTTTCATGAGTTTGTATAAGCTGTTATTGATTTTTATATATTAGAAATGTTAGTCTTATTTACGAATTGTAGTTGTATTTAATTAACAAATCCAAATACCAATGAATAATTGCTAATAATAAGTAGATATTGATATGATAGTATATTTATAAGCAAAATAATAAAATTAGGTTGTATTTTTTTGTATATTAAAGCCTTCATTTCTTTTTATATGTTGACAATCACTATTATTAATATAAAAAATGAATGAAAATGTGTAACATCTGTTCGAAATGTTTCTAATTTTGGAATAGCGAGTCGTAAATGGATAAAAAAAGGTTTTGGGCTTCAAGGGAATAGAGTTTAGACCATATCGGATGTTGATAATGTTGGTTAAATGATTAAAGCCTTCGGTTTATGCTTTGAAGAAAAAGGGTAAAAAGGGAAAAGTAATATTACAGGCTTCTTACATGGATTATGGTTTTAGTTCGACATGTATTAAGTCAAAAGCAATTAGATAGGGTTGTGGGGCTCGTCAATATCTTTCTATGCATATAAAGATCACCGAAAACGAAGTTAAAACGAAGAAGTTATGAATGTTTGAAATTGGAATGGAATTTGATGAAAACTCGTTGTTACGAGGCGAGAAGAATATTCTCACGACGTGACAAGCAGGCGGTCACGAGGTGATAACTGGGTAGCCCAAGCCCATGATTTTTAGGGTTTTCTATGTATTTAAATGGTGGTTCCGTGTTTTTAGGGTATTTTTCCACCCTCCTTCACACCTAAAGCCTTTTGAGAAAAACCCTAACCTCCCTTTCACCACTTTGAGCCTCCCCTCTCCTCTCTCATCCATTTTGAGAGTTCTTGGTGGATTTTGGAATGAAGCTCTTTCAAGATGGAGTTTTGAATCATTGCATAAGAAGATCTCAACTTCCAACTATCTTTTTGGACCTTGGGTATGATTCAAGTTTCCACCTTTATTCTTACAAGTTATTAGATCTAGGCTCCCTTGCCCCTTTTCTCCATGTTTGTGAGGTTTTGAGGGATAAGGTTCCATAAAGTTGGCAACTTTATGGATCCTTGGGGTTCCTTTTAGGCTGTATGTTCCATATATATGTCCTTTTGATAATTTTGGATATCTAGTGCAAGTTTTGGTTCATTTCTTCCATGATTATGACCTAGAATGAAAGGGGCATGCATTGGACATGTATGTCCATAAAGCATTGATTTTTATGTTGTATTTGGAGTAGAAAAAGTCACTGGGAAAGTATAAATGAATAGTTGGAACGATTAAAGTGTAACATCCCAAAATCGAGACCCAAATTTTTTTGCTTAATTATATTACTTATGAAAATAGTTACGGAAAACATCATTGTTATCATTTCAAACATCAAGTCACAAATCACAAGTCTCAAAAAACCATATCATCAAATAGTAAAATATCATAGTACAATCCCAGGGTTCTCAAAGTGGAAATCATATGTGTGCGATGCGCTGCTACCCTGCCGGCTCCTTCCCCTTAGCTGAAGAGGTACCTGAAACCAAAACTAAAAATTGTAAGCATGAAGCTTAGTGAGTTCCCCCATCATACCACATACCATACAATCATACATACTGCCGGACAAATTTTGGGGTGCCCGACCTACCCATGTCAAGCCATTCTGGGGTGCTGACCTACCCATGTCAAGTCATTATGGGGTGCTGACCTACCCATGTGAGGCCATTCTGAGGAACCTTCGTGAACCTAAACAACTGGGGAACCTTCGATCTTAACATCTGGTCCATAAACAAAAAGGATTTTGTGGAAAATACACCCCGACTCATCGAGTCCTATGAACGACTCGCCGAGTCCCTCTTGTCCAAAACTATACACTCGATTATAATGGGTTTTAACGTATCAAAACCATAGATCTGGCCTCCTAGGGTCCATTTTATACGTAAAGCTACAAACTGGATGTACATGCATGGGGCCTTTGGCTCAAAAAGCCATAAAAGGAGGTCTACAATATGCATGGGGTGCTTATGACAACAAAGTTGGCACCTTTATGCCATAAGGACCCCCAATAGTTCTAGATCCGAAGTGCAACTCCAAGCACACCCACAAAATCCGATTTTAGCTTCTCTATACTCATAAAAAGGGTAGAAATAGCCCCAAATCAAAATCTAAGAGATAGATGGTCAAGGTTCCAGCTTTTTACCTTGAATGAGCTGAGAATGGAGTAAAACTTTTGGATCTTCTTGCTTCTACTTGAACTTCCAAGCTTCCTTCTTCTTCTCCAACTTCAAACACACACAAAAGGGAACCAAAAGGCTCAAGAACACACAATAAGGGTTTAAGGTTTCAATGTAGGGATTTCTGAGTTGGGAGGGTGATGGAGGCTGGTTTGGGACGAGATAAAGTGTTTAAATAGGGTGCAAACCCTAAACATTAGGGTTTTGTCCAGACAGCTCCTACTCGTCGAGTCGGTCTCCCAACTCGTCGAGTAGGTCACTTAAACCCTCGATCAAAAGTCGAGTCTACTCGATGAGTTGGGCCTCCAACTCGCCGAGTCCCAGAGTAAATTGCAACATTACTTGAATTTAAATACGTACCAGGAACTGGGTGTTACAAATCTCCTCCACTTATTTTAGACTTCGTCCTCGAAGTCAGTTGTTGAATCCGAAAAAAGCTCAGGGTAGTGCTCCCTCATCTCGTCCTCCGGCTCCCAGGTCTATTCCGAGCCCTTGCGGTGCTGCCATTGCACCTTCACTAGTTCCACCCTCTTGTTTCTCAGATCCTTCGACTTCCTGTCGAGGATAACTACTGGCCGCTCGATGTAGTTCAAGATGTCATCCACCTGAATATCCTCCAAAGGCACCATTGCCGAGTCGTCCACCAGGCACTTCCGCAATTGCTAGACGTGAAAAGTACTGTGAATCTGGTTGAGTTCGGCTGGCAGGTCCAGCCTATATGCCACCTTGCCCACCCGGGCTGCAACCCTGAAAGGTCCAATGTATCTGGGGCCCAACTTGCCTCGCTTCCTAAACCGGATGACACCTTTCCAAGGTGACACCTTCAGGAGCACCATATCCCCGACCTGGAATTCCAGGTCCGAACGACGCTTGTCGGCATAACTTTTCTGCTGACTCTGAGCAGTCTAAAGCCTGCTCCGCACCTGTTGGATCCTCTCCATAGTCTTAAGTACCACTTAGGTACTCCCCATGACCCTCTGGCCAACCTCACCCCAGCATATCGGGGTCCTGCACTTCCTCCCATACAACATCTCAAAGGGAGGACGGTCAATACTCGCATGATAACTATTATTATAGGAAAACTCAGCTAAAGGAAGGTAAGTATCCCAACTACCTCCGAAGTCTAAAACACACGCCCACAACATATCCTCCAGAGTCTGGATGGTCCGCTCACTCTGACCATCCGTTTGCGGGTGAAAAGCAGTGCTGAAGTGTAGACAAGTACCCAACTCGTCGTGAAAATTCTTCCAGAATCTGGAAGTAAACCGCACGTCTCGGTCCGAAATCACTGAGACTAGCACTCTGTGCTAAGCTACTACCTCTCGGATGTAGATATCGACCAACTTCTCGGCCGACATGCTCTCCTAGATCGGTATGAAATGGGCACTCTTGGTCAACCGATCCACGATGACCCAAATCGAATCCACTCCCCGTGCAGTCCTGGGAAGCTTTGTGATGAAATCCATAATAATATCTTCCCATTTCCACATGGGGATGTCCAACGGCTACGTCTTGTCGTGAGGCCTCTGGTGCTCGGCCTTGACCTTTCTGCAGGTCAAGCACCTCTCAACATACCAGGCGACGTCCCGCTTCATGCAGGGCCACCAGTAGTCGGGTCGATGATCTCTATACATCTTCGTCGCCCCTGGATGGATGGAGAACCTAGACTTGTGGGCCTCCTCCATCAAGATCTGTCGTACCTCACCCCAGTACGGTACCCAGACCCTCCCATGCAGGGTCAACAATCCGCGACTATCATAGTCAAACGAGGCCACTTGGCCTATAATCCGATCGCACTTCCGGCGCTCCTCTTTCAGGCCCTCGACATGCGCCTCGCGGATCTGCTCCAACAGTGGAGTCACTACCGTCATCCTTAGGCAAACGTCTCTAATCGGGACTGCCTTGCGGCTAAGCGCGTCGTCCCCAACATTGGCCTTCCCCGGGTGGTAAAGGATCTCACAATCATAATCCTTCACCACATCCAGCCATCGACACTATCTCATGTTTAGATTTGGCTGATCCATAAGATACCTCAAACTCTTATGGTTCGTGTAAATGGTACAACGGACCCCATAAAGAT